GTATTCATGGACCTCAGCGCAGCTTCAGCCGCAGGCGTCATTACAGTCTCAGCCAAACACGAGAGTCTGTCGCCCCGCACCCGCTGTCTAGGTAACACACTGCGCTTTTGTCCCGTCTGGCCTCCTTAATCCCCAATCTGAGGCCTTTCAAACAAATGAGCAATTATAGAAGGAATAAAGGTGGCGGAGGGGAAAGTGAGAGGGAGCGGGTAAGATACAGGAGCTAGGATGAAAAGAGGAAAAGAAAGAAAGAAAGAAAGAGAGGGAGGGAGAGCACAAAATCAGATTTATCCAAAACACAAATAAAGAGACTCTGAGGGAGAAAAGCCCATCCGCACCTGCCCGTCCAGCATTAGGCTTCTTTTGACTGTTTTGCATGATAAATGATGTGTTGTGCTGTAGATGCTGAAGCAGGTGCATGGCCTCTGGATCTGCATCGCTCACTCCACATTTCCCACCATCAATACATTTGTTTTTAATATTAACAATGCCAGGGGAAATGAACATGGCATGATCGCACCGGGAGTCACGGGGAAATGATGTTACGTCTGAAACTCTGAGCAGGTTATTGCAGCGGCACACGAATAAGGTTAGAACTGAAAGAAACGAATACAGACACAGACTGACTGAGAGCATTTTTTCCTCGGAAAGCCAATATTATGTGTTAATGGAAATATTGCAGTGACTGAACTCAGTATAGACAGAATAATGATGTGGGTCAAATCATATTCTCAGTGAAAGTGGAGTGAAGAGACGCATTCGAACTAGATAAGAGCAGTTATCAGAGCGGGTTTGCATTGATTTTCTTCTGTATCTTTCATCTGGAAACACTAATCTACAGGAATACAGCTGCCACGCTGAGGCCGAGGAAAGGCACACGAAGATGAAGATAATCGCTCTAATATTTAATAGTACTCTAAGATGATGAAGACAGGTTCACAACAGCAGTAACATAAACAATAAGCGACGGAGCACTGAACAAAGGAGTGAGCTTAAATGAGGCAACGGATGAGGACAACACAGGTGCAGGAGGTTAATGACCTACTAATGACCTAATGAACTAAACTAGGACAGGAACAAAACCAAACAAGGGCAAAAGAAAAGTCCATAATTGTGACAACAGCAGATGGAGTCATGCATTCATACAGTGACTCTATATGATCATCAACAACAATGGCATAGCACGATGTATTTGTTTGTTTAGTCTTGAACTATTAGGTAATTATAAATACTACAAATGCAGTGTTTTCTATTTATCATTTTTATTTATTATTATTATTATTATTATTATTTTACAGTCAAATGTGCACTTGTAGATTCTTAAAGTGCATTTTAAACGGATTGCAGATAAGAAAATATTAATAAAAAAATCCCAAGTGTACATCACACAGAAATGGAAATCCAGTCATCTTGTATTAACTCTCAAGTCTTCCCAAACCTGTATGACTTTATTTCTTCTATTTTAGCGTTTTGCAGAAGAACATACATAATGACGTAAAACAAAAAGTACTCTAAAGTTCAGCTAATTGTATTTAATATAAATTTAAACTAATAAATGGTTTAACTGTGTAAGCATACAGACGTGTACTTCATTGCAAGTCATTTTGTTTACAATAGTTTAAAGGCTTTTCGTATGTGTCAAATGTGTGAAATCAGCATCAACACAAAGATTCGATTTGTAAGTCCTTGGTATTTAACTAGATTTCTCTTCGGCCTATAAACACTCGTAGTGTGTGATCAGTGAGACTCATGACAAACAGTGACCGCTCAGAAACACTGGCTCTCAGTGACAGACGTGTGCTGTGATGAATGCAGCGGTCAGCTCTCGCAGGGAGCCAGAGGCTAATCAAAGCAAACTCCATACATCAGCGTGGAGAGCTGACAGATGACCGACCAAAGCCATCATTAGAGACGTGGAAATTAAGATGAGCTTGTCCGGGGCGGTAACCTGATTACTGAGCATCCAGGGGTTGGTTATTAAATGATTAACCAAGCATCACAGCAGCTCAGGTGAAGGAGCGTATCATTTGTTGCATGAAGGACGACAGAAAAAAAGCCTTTGGCTGCAAGCCTGAGACAAAGAGATCTGCTTATAGTATGGTCACATTTACATACAACATCCTTCGCTTTGTGACTGATGGAACGGTCAGGAGTCGTGAAAAATCACGTTATACGTGTTTATTAATGCATGTAAATAAACATATGTTGATTTATAGCTGTTGTTGGTGCTCCTCCATCGCTCACGGAGTGATGCAATCTGAAATCTGCTGTCATGCCGATATCAACCACTAGGAGGCAGACGGCATCGCTCTGTTGCTTCAGTCTGACTGTAAGATGGATGTGTGCTTTGTTTTGGTGAACTATATCAACCACAATATTACAGCATTTTCCCCCTTCCAATAATAGATTAAAACACATGCACATGGTTTAACACTGATGACTGCGTTTAACCTGCAGGGAAAATAATGACATCAGCTTGAGCGCTTCTCTTTAACTCAAGCTGTGTTGCATATACACCTTTATAACACAACCAGCAGATTACTGTCTGTTTTGAATTTTTGTATTGCTGATATAGAACTGAGTGTGCAAGTAAAAGTGCTTGCATAATGGAGTGCAGTGGCTCTTGTAACACACACAGGCTTAATGAAGTCTGCTTTTATCAGCTGTTATTGCTGTAAGCGTGATTATGGGACTGTCGTTGTGCGGCGCATGCTCTCCAGCGACTTCCAGAAGGTGACCTTTCGCTGACTGTAGCCATAGAAACGGAATGAGAGAAGCACAGCTTGAGCAGATAGAGCAAGAGAGAGAGAGAGAGAGAGAGAGAGAGAGAGAGACAGTGAATATAAATTGAGGAAATGGATTCAGACCTGTTTTATACACATGCACGGTTAAATAGTTCCTTATTTACAGATGCAGGCGAGATACACAGTGACTAATCTTCAGCTGCATGATGGGAAGGGTGTGCATACACTGTAATCAGACCCTTTGCCAGGAGCTCGTTCACAGTTAGACACTCCAATATAATGAGAACCACAGAAATCACCGTGCAAGACAAATCGTTCACCTTATTATGAGCAGAAATCAGCATGTCTCTAATAAATAAAAAGTCTGGATTTAATGCAGCCCAACATATATATAAAAGTCAGAACAGCTATAAGATGCTGGACTCTTATTCCAGGAATCCTTCGTGTCGTTCTCGGCACAGCAGCTTCACTGGAGCAACAGATCGTTAAGTGGTTGCTATAGAGGCTCCCATGATAAAAACATTACAGGCAGTTTCCAGGTCTCTCTGTAGCGAGTCAATGGCTCGTGCAGGAGGAGCCGCGGGGGGCCGGGAATCATGCTATGACAGTGCACATGCCATGAAATTGGAAATATTTGGTGCATAAACCCATTTCAGACTGCAAAAATAACTGGATGACAAAAAAAATCCATGCAAAATGTCACTGTATATGTTTGACGACAATTTGCTTGCCTGTAAATCACTTTTAATAAATGCATCTGCTAAATGAATAAATGCAAATGTCAAATTGAGCGCAGCTTACATAACAGATGGATCCTCACAAGGTGCTGTGCTGTTCTCAGATCAGCTCTGCTGTACAGTGGGAAACAATGCAATTCTCAGCAGGTTCTCAATATATTTTCCACATATATAATGCATTTATATTTATGCATTTAGCCCACACTTTTAACCAAAGCGATTTACAAAAGAGGAAGCAATTCGTCAACAATATTTGCAGTATACAAACTCACATTTATTCGACTGGATTAGGAAACAAGCTATAGAGAAGAGGAGAGAAAGAATTGCATCAGTTTAAGGCTGTGGAGTGGTTAAGTGCTAACAGAAAAGGTGTCTTCAGCTGTTTTATGGATCTAAACAATAGATAGTGCTGGGATGATGGAAAAAGCAACTGTTTAACCAGCATTCGAGAGATGAGGACTGGGGAAGTTGACTGCTCTGTAAAAGGACCCATTGTGCATTACACTGTATAAGAAAACAGTGCTGAAGAGAAGAGAAATGATTACAGCCCAGCTCCGTCTGAGACCGAGAGTGTTGTGAAACCTGGCATTTGATTGAAACAAAGTCTATTGATTAGTCATTATTACAATGGCGTTTGGCCTAAAGCTCACCATAAACACCCAGCGCTGGGGATGTAAATAATTCACTAGTGTTACAGTTGGAATAGAAACCAGTCTGTGGGAAGATCGCCGTTAAGTAGCCTAAAAGAAAATGAATCAGCCAGCTCTCATTTACATTGTTAATTACAGAATATGGATTAGCAGGCGGTGCCATTATCAGTGTAGATTGCACAGTTCTGATCTAGAATGCCTGAGTCATTTATCCAGTCTAACTCTGTTTTTCACAGATGGCTGTGATTAATGTTGATTAATGAGTTTGAGATTGTCAACATGAATGAGTTTTTTTGGAATAATTATTTGGACACTGATGAGTCACAGTAAAGCTTGGTCAAGCAGGTACTTTTGCATGGTGCTGCAGAGTGTTACTCAATATACAGGTATTATTTTTTAAATTGAATTTAGAAGGATTTCACAATTTGGACTTTCTGCAAATTATTATTATTTTTTTTAACACCAGTCGCATTGGTTAACATGATCTCATGCTTCATGTACTCTAACAGAGTTCACTTCTTAAATGATATTGTTGGAAATGTTAGTCAGAAAAAGCATAATCATTTACATGCAAGTGTTTTATTACATAAAGAACCTCTACAAACGATATGGTAATTACAAACCACACAGTAGTTGATTGCATTATAACTAATCACAAAACACAAATAGTCTAGCTCTTTTGGATGTTTACTTGCAGTCTATTCATCAAGAGCAGTCTTCGTTCCCCGTGGAATGAAACACTGGCGGTGTGGTATACAGGTGAACATGTGAGAAAGAACAGCGCATTTGAACCTGATTCAAATGCATCACACTCATCTATCTCTCCAGCCAGGTGACTCAGAGAAGTGTCTGATCAGGACAGACTCGCCTCTCTCTGGCGCATGCGCAGTGCGTCGCTGGGAGTCGAGCGCATCGGCAGCTGTGCGGAGTGAAGAAGAGCAGCTCCAGCCCGGTTATGACAGGTATTCGCTTTTATTCATTAATACTCCAAACACTGATCTGTCGAAGCCTCTCGATGTCTTATGCTGAATTCGTCGTTGTTGTCTAAACGCTGTCACGAAGGACACATTTAATGGATAAGACTGTGACTGCTGGATCAGTCTGCTTTTATATCGATCATCAAATGTGTAAAAGCTGCTTTGTGCCGTTTTGTTGAATAAGGACACTGTTTGTTTTTTTTTAAGTTCGTTGACGCATTGGACATACACACAGCTATAAATAGACTTCCATCATATAATTGCACATCTCTTTATAATGAGAGGAGAGGAGAGGAGAGGAAGAGAGGGAGAACGACAAAGAGAGGACGAGTCTCCCTTTCAAGGTAATGGAGAATGGAGTCTATTAAGCATTTATATGTCCTTGAAAGATTCATCGTCTAATGGAAGGTTAAGTGGGAAAAATGTGTAAAAGCTGCTTTGTGCCGTTTTGTTGAATAAGGACACTGTTTTTTTTTTTTAAGTTCGTTGACGCATTGGACATACACACAGCTATAAATAGACTTCCATCATATAATTGCACATCTCTTTATAATGAGAGGAGAGGAGAGGAGAGGATAGGATAGGAGAGGAGAGGAGAGGACAGGACAGGACAGGACAGGACAGGAGAGGAGAGGACAGGAGAGGAGAGGAGAGGAGAGGAGAGGAGAGGAGAGAGTGTCTCAGATGTTCAGGAGCATCAGATGACATGAAGATCTGAGGATGGCGTCATCTGCGAGTCACAGACTGTGACGTCATGCTTCTCCAAAAAAAAAAAATCTCAGAGCAAACCTTCAGCTTCATACAGATGCTCACAAATTCATGTCAGATGAAAATATAATTGAAAGTGTGTGGTTACAGTTGTCTTGTTTCTTATCCAAACTAAAAACCCATTAATTTTCTACATAGAGGAATTTATTTTTTACAATATCTTATAAACTGTTAAAGACAGACCCACTGTGAGCTACACGGTTGTTAATCGATGATATCTGCTTTGTTAAAGCCATCTGTTTGCATTATTTTAACATAGTTTTCAAACAATTTAATGATTGTTTAAGAGCAGATCCTTATGAGAAACTACATTACCCATGATTCTGTAATCTCCACCAATCAGAGAATTGCTACAAAATCAGGAAATCATGTCAAAAGCTCCGCCCACTGCCATGTAGCACTGCAGATGAAATCACATACTATAGTCTGAATATATATACATGGTATGACATTTGGACGTACTATATCCGCCATGCTGTTATGGTCATGTGATAACTGCATAGCTCCTCCCCCGTGGCCTCATGTGATAGTAAAGTGTCCATCGGATGCACACTTCAGAATCTCATTGGATGTAGTCTGTAGTCATCCAGGGACTTTTTGCCTACTAATTTTCGTATAATACAATTTCAGACATACTACTCGCTTCGCATACCGTTTTTTGCATACTATATAGTAGGGAAGTATTCGATTTCAAATGCATCATCAGTTTCGCCACACTCTCAAACTACTGACATATTTGTATATATTTGCATATTTTGCAATAAATGCAAAATATATTGTTTATATAGATACAATCAAGATTTTTAGATCAATAGTTTTATATCTCTCCATTGTCGTTCACAGTGTTTAATGGGATTGTAGTTGTTTCCCTCACTAAAGCTGTTAAGTTCACAGTCTCGTATCTTTGTGTTTTTGTCAGATTTTCTAATACTATTTCTTTTGCTTCAAATCAGAGTTTGTAATGTGATTCTCCTTGTAGCTGGTTGATTTGGTTCATCGCTTATAATTTTTTTTAAAATTCCTATGCGAAAAACACTTACAGAATGAAGTCTAATGCGCTCTATAAACCAACATGTGAGTGATGTCATATAAATTCTACTGAAGTGAATGTGGCTTCATTTTCTATATCTCTGCATGCCATCACTTTAATTACAACATGAGCCTAAACTTCCAAGTAAACGCACTGGTGTAGTGTGCAGGACTGAGGCTCATTGAAACGCTGAAGGACGGCTGACTCATTTCCTCATGAGCTTCAGCAGGTATCCATGATTTCATTACAGCCTCGTTTCCCTCCCGCTCTCATCATCCAGACCCTCTTTACAGATGCTCACGCTGGAAACCACACGCCGCTTGAACGCATCCAGCTGTCATCAGATCTTCTGAGTCTGATGCTTAAAGCTGGAGTCTGTCAATGTTTCAGTGTTACAGTTTTTTTCAGCTGCTTACACACATTTTCAAAACTTTGCCTCTTTTTCTCAAAACTTTACACACAAATCCAAGAATTGCACAGACAAAATGCAAAATGCCTCACACCTCTTGCAAAATTAAGCACTGCATTCAAAATATCACAAACACATCTCAAAAGCTAACATTTGCAAACACCTTTGCCATAATATTAATCCCCTTTGTGTGTTGAGAATTGTGTGTTGTGTTTTGCAAAAAGTGTTTTATGAAACTGAAAACTGAGTCAAAGGCTAAAAATTAGTGTATGGTTTTGCAGATTTGGTGTGTGTATTAATATTCTTCTCCTACTCCACATTAATATCCAGAGTCACCTTTGATAATTAAACCTTTCATAGGCTGATTCTCAGTTTGGGCCGGGACTATCTGTGTGTCTGACCAATGGAAAACAGGGGAGGATATGGGAAACCTCTTTAAAAATCTGCAGAACCAAAGTGGCACAAACTTCAGCTTTAACAAAAGGACAATCAGTTAATGAGGAATTAGTTTATTAAAACTAAATGTCAAAATTGTGTCATTAGAATGCTGTTTGTTGAATTGTTTGTTGCATGAGCAGATTCCTGTCTGCTAAATGCATAACCCTAAAACGGGTAAAACCATAAAGAAACAAGAGAAAATTAATGTATTACCATTTCCATCTTATTGGCACTCAAATAATAAAATTTCATGACTTTTTAAAAAAACACGACTTTTTTTAAATTTATTTTTTATGTTTGTATCCCCAGGATACGTTGCCCTTTTGGGGAATAAACTAGCTGAAAACAGAACACTTGTTTATCCATGCGTGTTACAACATGGTTGTAATTCCTGAACGCTTTGGAATACAGACCTACGGTTGGTCTCTCGTCCAGAAGACACATAGCAGATTATTGCTGAAGTGAAAGCATTAAAAAAAAACAGTTTTACTTATTTTAACAGTTTACAGTAAAGATAATGTATGGCAAAAAATATATATATATAAAACATAAATATGTAATAAAATATGTTGCACTCTAAAATTGCTATAAAATCAAAGCCATGTGTCTAAGCAAGTTATGTTCCAAATTTGAAGTTGATATCACAAAATCATGGTTCCTGTGAGATGTAGTTAGGGCGCTATACCAAAAATAACCACTGGGTGACAACCAAACTCTATAGATTTTTTTTTGATGCAGTTTTCTGTTACAATATCGTTTATATTACAAAACAGCCACCAAATATGGAACCTTGACTGTCAGACATTTCCAACGATATGTTTTTAGTCAAGATTACAAAAAGATTTGATTTTCTAAAACACAAGCCACAAAATCACAGCGTCTATATACATGTTTTTGTATCTTGACTTATACTCCTAAAAGAGCGATGTGTCCCCTGAAATACTAACATTTAGAGACAGATTACAAAAAAGTAAGCATTTAATTAATACAAGTGCAATGTAAACCTAATGAGCTAATGCTGAACAGCAGCTTTTTAAACAGGCAAGTCCCCTCCAGCGTGTGTAAATATGTGAACTAGATCAACTTTTATCGGAGGGGGAGTAGATTTCCCACGACAGGCGGCCGTGCAGTTTTAAATGCTGCCAAACAAATTCACCTCATCTAAATATTCACAACAGACACCCTTTCAACATGAAACCAAGAAATAAGACCTACACTTTCACTGCTTGTCCCCACAGCTTCTCAAATGTTTGTATCCATCAGGATACGTTGCCCTTTTAATGTAAAATGGGCCTAAAATGAACTCTCGCTAAGTGCCAAATGAAACAGAATTTTACAGTGTTAGTGTCAAATACTTTAAAGTTTAATACTATAATAATAGTTAATTATTGGCTTGTTTAATTTTTATAATTTGAGTGAATAATAATAATAATTAGTGTGTCCTCTATTTGTTTCATCTGTGTTTTAATGACATAATGCACATACAGTTTCATGGCCGGTAAGCTGAGTTGAAAGTAAATGAGACCGCTGTGTTTGTGTGCAGATGTGAAGCATGACGTCCTGCTCAGAGATCTGTGGCTCGGATTACACTGAGCAGAGCCATGGCGCCCTCAGCAGCGGTTACCAGGGTTACGGGGTGCGTTCCTACCTGCATCAGTTCTACGAGGAGTGCACCGCTTCCATCTGGGAGCGCGATGAAGATTTCCAGACACCGAGATCGCCGAGCCGCTGGAGCTCTGTGCTCTGGAAGGTGAGCTGCTGTGATGGACATCATCCTGCTGGTTCTCTGCAAAAATGTGCCAACAAGCCTGTTTTTATGTTTGCATGAATGCATGTTATTGTATGTGTTTTTGTCATTTTTTGTTTATTTTTATGTTATTATTTAAGTTTTAAATAACGTTTTAGTTAATTTTATTAGTAATATGTGCAACCAATCACAAAGCTGGTTCCTCTTCAAAAACACTGTACTGATTTTATTTTCAATTGCTATTTTGTCTTCCAAAGATTATGAAAACAAAAATCTAGGTAGAAAGATTGTTGTTTTGCAATGATGCTTTTGTTTTGTCTCGTGTTCCTTTATAGTGGTGTGCTTCCACCTTTTAATAAAAAAGCCTCTCTGCCAGACAGTGCCCTGTTTAGTTCAGCTCCAAACTGAGATTATTTGTTTATTTTTATTTATCAGTTTATTTACATTTATTTTTTTTGTGTATAAATGTGTATCTGAAGGGAGCTGACTGTCTTCAGAAAAGTTTCAATGATATTTTCTTTTTAATTTCACCTCCATGTGAGGTTTATGAGTACAGCGCTACTTTGTGTCCGGGGGTAACCGCTGTATTTCTGCTTTTCCTTCATTCAGCCCGTCTGCTGTTTTTGTTCAGATCAATTATATTTAACATACATAATCATTTATTAGGCTGACATGTGAGGTTTATCATTTTATAAAACGTCTGTTAAAACTTTATTATTTGAGCTGTAAAGTTCATTACATCATAATTTTTAACAATAATTTTACAGTTTAGGATGTCACCATGGATATTGGTGTTGTTTCAAAACAAAGTTGCTAAATAAACAACATATAGTTCTATTCTAATATTTAAAGCATTTTCACAAATCAGAATTTTTCAGTTGCCGATTCCAGAATTTTTCTCTATCACCTTCCAAACTGGTCTTTTTGATAGTTAAGTAGCCTTGCGATCAGATCAGAAACGCTCATTTTCGACTAGTTGAGTCTTGTATGTGTGCAGTCATCAGACGGTCAGTGAGGGGACTGAATCTTTAACCTGTGCAGCAGATGTCGCTACTGTCATCCTACTGGTGTTAAATACAGTTCTGTCATGACGACTCTCGGAGGGATTGGCATAGTAATGTACATGACAATGTTAAAGGATAAGTTCACTTACAGAATAATACAATTCCTGATAATTTACTTACCCTATGTCATCCAAGATGTTCATGACTTTATTTCTTCAGTCGCAAATATTTATTTTATTTTTTTTGAGGAAAACATTCCAGGATTTTTCTCCATATAGTGAACTACAGTCCAAAATGCAGTTTCAATGCAGCTTCAAGGGGCTCTAAACGATCCCAGCCGAGGAATAAGGGTCTTATCTAGTGCAATGATCGGTCAGTTTTTTAACCACAAATGCTTGGCTAGCATTAGCTCTGCGATGCGCATGTGCATCTTTATTACGTGATATTCGAAAAGACACGCGTTATGTAGGCAGAAGTACTGACTCAGTTTACAATAATAATAAAGAAAGACATGAACGTCTTGGATGACATGGGGGTGAGTAAATTATCAGGATTTTTTTATTCTGGAAGTGAACTAATCCTTTAATGTGTTTGGTCTTGGCGGAATAGATCAGTTACGCTGCTGCCATACCGAGACTTGCTACTGCCAATACATCCACAACATGCTGCTGTGAACATGTAAGAAATACTGCTGCTGCACATATAACATATATGAATAACTGCCAAACATAGCATACTTGAATCACCCTGTGGCAGATCAATACAGGTGGAGCTGGGGAGGTGGAGGGTTTCTGAAGTGCGCTGCAAACTGCTACAGCAAGCACTAGTCATATATTTGAATGTTGAGCAGCGAGCTCATTGGCTGCTGATACAAAATAACCAATGAGCTGTGCCATGTGATCATGATGTCAGATTGAGTTTGACCTATCGGACTGCGCCATCTAGAGTTTCATGCCAGAACATTGGATTAATACGGCTCCTCTGTGTCTCTCCACCAGGTCTGTCTCGCGCTAGGCGCTCTGATTCTGGTGGCGGGGTTATCCGTGCTGCTGGTGGGCTACGCCACGCCGCCTCGACTCGAAGCCTTCGGAGAAGACGAGCTGCTGTTTGTGGATGGCCGCGCGGTGCGCTTCAACCGGGCCCTGGACGCCTGTAAGCTGGCCGGGGCCGTGCTGTTCTGCGTGGGTGGCAGCGGGATGGCGGTGGGGCTGCTGCTGGCCGCCTGCTCTCAGGGCAGCTCCAAGGAAGAGCTCCGTCTGCAGCAGCGCTTCAAAGAGCGGCTCGCCGAGATCCAGGCCTCCGTTCAGCCCGTCACCCGCGCTCCCACCCCGGGAGAGGCCAAGGTTCCCGTCACGCTCTCCAAAGTGCAGAGTGTCCAGCCCGGAGCGGAAACCTGACCTCTTAAGCATTCCACGCTTCCGTGCAAAACAAAACAACAGTTCCTTGAACAGTAGAGATAGATAACACTGCACATTCTCTGGCGCATTTCATTCAACTATATTGAGCAAGAGCACCGAGAGTATTTACGGCGATTAGCGTAAGCGTACTGGTGCTCCTGAAAACAGAAACACAGCACAAATATACTCGCGTGCTATGGCTAGGAATCAGAACACCTTTAGGCAGCTGTTCCGAAGAGCAACATATTCTTCAGAGGCGTCAAGGCTTGTGCGTATTAATACCGAATAAGCAAGAATAGTTTCTCTATTATAGTGAACCCAAACACAGCCAAGTCATTAGGTAAAACTCATAAACAAGCAGAACGGAGGCCTTTGTCAACTGAAACTGTAATGATTTGTCATCGCTCATTCAGAAAGCGTCACGTTGGTTCATTGCCGTCACCCAAGGTGCAATTTTTCTCAGAATCTCTCCTAGCGAACGCCTCTCGCTCTATTGCTACAGTCAATCAATAGTTCGTTGACAGAACGCAATGTATTCCGAGCCACAATTTCACACGTCTCAATACCGCGCCTCCGTTCTGCTCAAATACATCACCGCCTGCGATGTCTAGGAGTGAAAATAGATTACGGTTTAAATGCGCCTGTGGGATTATGTAATATCCTCTCATTGTGTTGCACATCATTCTTGCTCCAATTTTTTTTTACTTTGATTGATTAGTGCAAATGTCGCATGATCACACCATTCAGTGAAACATTGTAAACTACTTTCAAGAAGGTTGATAAGAATGAAAAACCCTCACCGTCACTTCTGAGTGTAATCTTTTGTGTTATTTATTGATTATAAATGATCATCGAACATATTGCATATGCATTCAGATGTTTGAAAATGACAAGGCTTGCTAATGAATCTCTCGCGCCAATCACTGGATATTTAACAATCAAATCTCTCAGACAGGCCTAGATGAAGTCTAAAATATAACATTTATAATATATATATATATATATATATATATATCAGCTGCTTCAAGACTTGATTCTTCTTGTCTAAACTGACATATATGGATGTGTTTTCAGAGGTGTGTCGATCACAATGCTGGTAATCGTCTCAAACTGTCAAATCCTCTGGTTTGCTTTGTCCGTCTGCTCTTGGGAAGGAGACAGAAGGTATCGGAGCTGTTCTTACTCTTGGAACGTGTCTATTTTTCAGCAAACAGAATAAAAATAAATGTTTGTTACCGTCATTGTCTGTCGGTGGCTGTTTCTTCCATTTGTTCGCTCTAAATTTGCACATTGAAATGATAATTTGAGCTAAGCACATTAAAATATGTTGTATCTTTCACGTGGTATATTCATTAGTGAGGATATGGTCAACACTGATGCTCTGAAGATCCTCAATCTATAAAAATGTCCATCTGGTCCAAGTCTGGCATCACAAGTCAAAGTTTCCGGGTCCAGTTGTGCTATTAGATCCCAAAATCAAACAAAAACAGTAATACACACTCACGGTGTGCTGTAATACTACCAAAAAATCATGTTCCTAACTTTTGTCTCTATAGCAGAATCTCAGCTGGCCACACATTGACTCCCAGAGACTGCAGTGAAGATCCTGAGTCTTTAAAAGCTCACTTGAAACCAAGCAGAGGCTTAAACCTGGAAACAGTGTACATTAGGCGATGAACTAACAAGCAGATAAAGGTTCGGTCACTTTTCAAGATATGTGACCAACTTGAACCTGATGCAAAATGTGTGTGTGGAAATATTTCTCTCACAGAAAATTGCATGAATTCATATAGATGCGGTCACATTATTATACATTTTGGCTAAACTTTAGGTCCATTCTCCATTGTAAAGGATATTGCTCCATTGTCATGAATCACAGCTCACACAGAAGCCACTCTTAACCCAAGAAGATTTCTATTAGCAAATGTACCTGAGCAATTTGACTCTGATGTGAAATTGGCTTGGAGAACCTTTCAGTCCTCAAGTAGAATTACAGATTGTGCAGAAATCTGTTGAAACGATTGGATTTAGCCTACAAAAAGTTGCTGAACAACAATAAATAGGATGTGCTTCAAAATGACCACACTTAGAAAAGATTGAGAATAGTATAAATAAATATGAGCCTAATAACATTCTCACTCTATTTTTACAGTTTTTTTCAACTGCTTACACAAATGTTCAAAACGTTGCCTCTTTTTTTTTACTTTTCACACAAATCCAAGAATTGTACACAAAATGCCTCACATCTGTTGCAGAATGAAGCACTGCATTCAAAATATCACAAATACATCTCAAAAGCAAACATTTATTAATAATATTAATTCCTGTTAGATTGTTGTGCTTTACATAGAGAATTGTGTGTTGTGTTTTGCAAAAAGTGTTTTATGAAACTGAAAACCGAGTCAAAGGCTGAGGATTAGTGTGTGGGTCTTTCTGTGTGGGTGTGTCAGCTTTCAGAAACTGTGTGACGAGTAAAGATTGTGTGTGCAAGCAGTTGAAAAAAAAAACGGTAATACTAATAAAAGTAGCCCTAAAAATAATTTTGATTCTTCTCTCTTTATATTTTTAATGAAACAGATATATTTGAATGTTGTAGACCTCAATTTCAAAGAAATAAGATGAGTAAGAGAGTTTTAGGTACAGCAGATTGGTTGTGTTTCTGGTCTGTCAGTGGCTGGAAATAGATGTTGATTTGAGTGAGTCATGCTGAGGATCTGCTGATGGAGAGACGAGTCGCTGTCAGTGTTCACCTGCAGTTAAACACAGTAGCATCACCAGATTCTCTACCAGCTCTGTGTGTGTGTGTGTGTGTGTGTGTGTGTGTGTGCGTGAGTGAGTGTGTGAGTGTGTGTGTGTGAGTGAGTGAGTGAGTGAGTGAGTGCGTGTGTGAGTGTGTGTGTGTGTGTGAGTGAGTGAGTGAGTGAGTGAGTGCGTGTGTGAGTGTGTGTGTGTGTGTGAGTGAGTGAGTGAGTGAGTGAGTGCGTGTGTGAGTGTGTGTGTGTGTGTGAGTGAGTGAGTGAGTGAGTGAGTGCGTGTGTGAGTGTGTGTGTGTGTGTGAGTGAGTGAGTGAGTGAGTGAGTGCGTGTGTGAGTGTGTGTGTGTGTGTGAGTGAGTGAGTGAGTGAGTGAGTGCGTGTGTGAGTGTGTGTGTGTGTGTGAGTGAGTGAGTGAGTGAGTGAGTGCGTGTGTGAGTGTGTGTGTGTGTGTGAGTGAGTGAGTGAGTGAGTGAGTGCGTGTGTGAGTGTGTGTGTGTGTGTGAGTGAGTGAGTGAGTGAGTGAGTGCGTGTGTGAGTGTGTGTGTGTGTGTGAGTGAGTGAGTGAGTGAGTGAGTGCGTGTGTGAGTGTGTGTGTGTGTGTGAGTGAGTGAGTGAGTGAGTGAGTGCGTGTGTGAGTGTGTGTGTGTGTGTGAGTGAGTGAGTGAGTGAGTGAGTGCGTGTGTGAGTGTGTGTGTGTGTGTGAGTGAGTGAGTGAGTGAGTGAGTGCGTGTGTGAGTGTGTGTGTGTGTGTGAGTGAGTGAGTGAGTGAGTGAGTGCGTGTGTGAGTGTGTGTGTGTGTGTGAGTGAGTGAGTGAGTGAGTGAGTGCGTGTGTGAGTGTGTGTGTGTGTGTGAGTGAGTGAGTGAGTGAGTGAGTGCGTGTGTGAGTGTGTGTGTGTGTGTGAGTGAGTGAGTGAGTGAGTGAGTGCGTGTGTGAGTGTGTGTGTGTGTGTGAGTGAGTGAGTGAGTGAGTGAGTGCGTGTGTGAGTGTGTGTGTGTGTGTGAGTGAGTGAGTGAGTGAGTGAGTGCGTGTGTGAGTGTGTGTGTGTGTGTGAGTGAGTGAGTGAGTGAGTGAGTGCGTGTGTGAGTGTGTGTGTGTGTGTGAGTGAGTGAGTGAGTGAGTGAGTGCGTGTGTGAGTGTGTGTGTGTGTGTGAGTGAGTGAGTGAGTGAGTGAGTGCGTGTGTGAGTGTGTGTGTGTGTGTGAGTGAGTGAGTGAGTGAGTGAGTGCGTGTGTGAGTGTGTGTGTGTGTGTGAGTGAGTGAGTGAGTGAGTGAGTGCGTGTGTGAGTGTGTGTGTGTGTGTGAGTGAGTGAGTGAGTGTGTGTGTGTGTGTGTGTGTGTGTGTGGTATATTTATAAGGGATGTACCTTAGTTTGGTAAAATTATTAGAATAGTTCCCTCAAAAATTTTAAGGGGAACACAAAAACTTTATTTGTATAGCGAAACACATTTTTAGAGAATGTTCATGAAAACCCCTTTCTGCCTCAAAAACAAACAACAACAAAAAAGGTAATTGTGACATTTTTTATCTCATAATTTTCTTCTTCTCTGAATTCTGACTCTACACCTTGCTATTCAGTTTATTTTCTCCCACCACAGAATAAAAAATAAAAATGGTAAATGCAAACTTTTCTCAAGCCAGATTTGGTGTTTTTGTGAGGTGCTATTGTTGTGTAAGTGCAGTGTTTGTCCCAGTGACCTGCTTTACACCTTCACTAGAGTCACACACACACAGGTTTGTTTTTATGGTTTATGGGGACTCTCCATAGGTGTAATGGTTTTTATACTGTACAGACCGTATATTCTATTGCCCTACACCAACCCTACCCCTAAACCTACCCCTCACAGGAGACTTTCTGCATTTTTAGATTTTCAAAAAACATAATTCTGTGTGATTTATACGTTTTTGTACCCGTGGGGACCTCAATTTAGGTCCCCACCGTGACACAAGTCCCCATGAGTCTGTGTGTATTCAGGTTTAAGTCCCCATCAGAAGAGAAAAACAGGTACACACTCACTCACACACACACTCACACACACACACTCACTAATGAATGACGTATCCACACAGATCTGTGAAAGCAGTCGACTGTATTTAGCTTGCACGCTTATTCTTCAGGACTGATGTTAATCAAGTCAGTTAAAATGATAATATCACAATAATGACACACAACAGAGAAGACACTGCAAGATGAAATAGAAATCTATATATTTAGCTTTCTTTGACAAAAAAGTATCTAAAATAAATATTTTTAGCAAACATTACACCTATCAGTTTAGCAGATATTAGCTCTAGTTCTCGTTCTGTTACCATAATTATGTTACTATATGGAAAATATATATTTTCTCAAATCCTAACTGGCTAAATTAGCTGTGTTATTAAATATGTTCACGGTATTAGAAGCTCGATACAATAAATTATTAATGTGATTAAATTAGCAGTAATCAAATCTTCTAAAGGGATAGTTCACCCAGAAGTGATCATTCAAACCCGTATGGCTTTCTGTCTTCTCACAAAAACAACATATATTGAAGAATGTTCTGGTCTCTCTTGTCCATGTTATACAGAGAACAACAGCTCCGTCTGTGCTCTGCAGCAGACAGAGAAGCATACGGTCTGAACTCGCTGAACTACTCCCTCAGGGTTTCTCATTTCTCATTCATTCACTGGGATCTGGATTCTCCTCCGCCGGCTCTCCCTCCTTCTCTGTGTTCTCCTGGTTCTCCTCTTCATCTCCTCCTTCAGCTTCTTCATCCTTCTTCTCTTCACCGTCATCATGTGCCTCTGGTTCTGATGCCTGTTCCTCTTCCTTTATCTCTTTATCCTCTTCATTAATTTCATCCTCTGCTTTCGTCTCTTCTTCACCGTCACACGGTGATTCTTCTGTGTTTTGGGCTGCTTCATCTTCTGCTTTGGTTGAGTCGTCAATATCAGGACTGGCCTCCTCTGCCTCCTCAATACAACAACATCACAGATCAGTGTGACACCCTGCTGCATATTTTTGTGGATACCGTGATACACTGACATTTAAAAAAAAAAGAAGAAGCTGGTCACACTTTATGTTAGGTGGCCTTAACTACTATGTACTTGCATCAAAACATAAGTGCAATGTACTTATTGTGTTCATATTGCATTGCAAAACACTTCTGCTGCTATTGATGAGGTTAGGGGCAGGTTTGGTGGTATGGGTACGGGTAGGTTTAAGGTGGGTTAAGGTGTAAGTGATGGGTCAACTGTGTAATTATAATGTAATTACAGAAATTAATTACAGGTGTAATTACATGCAGGTATTTTAAAAATATAAGTACAATGTAAAAACATGTATGTACACAATAAGTGCATTGTACCAAATGATTAATTTAAATGTAAGTACTCAGTAGTTAAGACCGCTTAATATAAAGTGGGACCAAAAAGCTTTTATTCAGATGCATGAAACTGATCAAAAGTGACAGTAAAGAATAAATAAATAATAATAATGTCACAATAGTAATAAATAATGTCACAAAATAATTATATTTCAAATAAATGCTGTTGAACTTTCTATTCATCTGTGAATCCTGAAAAATAAAATGTATCCAAAATAAAAAAATATTGTGCAGCACAACTGTGTTCAACATTGATAATAATCAGAAATGTTTCTCGAGCAGCAGAGCAGCATATTATACTGATTTCTGAAGATCATGTGACACTGAAGACTGGAGGAATGATGCTGAAAATACAGCTGCGCATCACAGAAATACATTACAGTTTAACAGAGATTCACACAGAACACAGCTATATGAAATAGTAATACTATTTCACTGTTTTTACAGTATTTTTAATAAAATAAATTATTACAATTAATCCAAACTTTGACCGCCTGTGTGTGTGTGTGTGTGAGTGTGTGTGTGTGTGTGTGTGAGAGAGAGAGAGCGTGTGTGTGTGTGTGTGTGAGAGAGAGAGAGTGTGTGTGAGAGTGTGTGTGTGTGAGAGAGAGAGAGTGTGTGTGAGAGTGTGTGTGTGTGAGAGAGAGAGAGTGTGTGTGAGAGTGTGTGTGTGTGAGAGAGAGAGAGTGTGTGTGAGAGTGTGTGTGTGTGAGAGAGAGAGAGTGTGTGTGAGAGTGTGTGTGTGTGAGAGAGAGAGAGTGTGTGTGAGAGTGTGTGTGTGTGAGAGAGAGAGAGTGTGTGTGAGAGTGTGTGTGTGTGAGAGAGAGAGAGTGTGTGTGAGAGTGTGTGTGTGTGAGAGAGAGAGAGTGTGTGTGAGAGTGTGTGTGTGTGAGAGAGAGAGAGTGTGTGTGAGAGTGTGTGTGTGTGAGAGAGAGAGAGTGTGTGTGAGAGTGTGTGTGTGTGAGAGAGAGAGAGTGTGTGTGAGAGTGTGTGTGTGTGAGAGAGAGAGAGTGTGTGTGAGAGTGTGTGTGTGTGAGAGAGAGAGAGTGTGTGTGAGAGTGTGTGTGTGTGAGAGAGAGAGAGTGTGTGTGAGAGTGTGTGTGTGTGAGAGAGAGAGAGTGTGTGTGAGAGTGTGTGTGTGTGAGAGAGAGAGAGTGTGTGTGAGAGTGTGTGTGTGTGAGAGAGAGAGAGTGTGTGTGAGAGTGTGTGTGTGTGAGAGAGAGAGAGTGTGTGTGAGAGTGTGTGTGTGTGAGAGAGAGAGAGTGTGTGTGAGAGTGTGTGTGTGTGAGAGAGAGAGAGTGTGTGTGAGTGTGTGTGTGTGTGTGTGTGTGTGTGTGTGAGTGTGTGTGTGTGTGAGAGAGAGAGAGTGTGTGTGTGTAAGCATAAACACTTTTTTTAGTGTAGCTGCATCCAAACATATGACTGCATTGTTTTAGACACATATCCTCAGTGCTTTAACACAGGTGGGTGATTTCTGAGGAATTCTGTTATGAACTGAAACACATGTGTGTCGACTGGGTTTCTGACAGTCTAGTAAGAGTATTAGAGGTCATGATGAGGTTTGAGCTCTTCACCTGCTGGACCGGTGAAGATTTCTCATCATCTTCTGCTCTTCTGTCCTCTCCATCATCTGCACACACACACACACACACACACACACACACACACACCACAGCAAACATGAGGCGCCAGCGCCCTCCATGGGTCAGGATTCACACTACAGGAATTCACATTCAGTTACAAATACAACATAAAATGGCTTCACACTCTGTGTTTCCAATTGTATTAATAAAGACAGCAAAAGGACAAACAATAAATCAAGAAATGCATATTTAATAATATCAAGAAATATCATCTAAATGGATGAACAATCAATGTTTTTTCTGATGAAATCAACAATGATCGATATGATCAACATTATAGACTAGTGTAGACTCAAATGCAAATGTCAGATTTAGTCTCAGGCCTTAAACGAGCATGTATGTACATCACGCTCTTATTAAAACCTCTCATGAGTTAATTACAGAGTCGCTGTTAAAATGACCATTAGCTTTCGACGCATCTGTGTAATTATTTTTGCGAGATTTACAGTCATACCATTGTACTCGCTAGTAAACAAGAAAATTGCACGAGTGTTTTAAATACTTAATGAGTAATACATCCAGAGATTGCGTGTGAAATCAATACACTCTGAATAATTAAACCGCAGAATTAATGCACCTCATATAAGTTCACGCTTTCCCCAATAGCGGCTATAAAAATATTGCTGTGCAGATGATAGTGTTTTACCCAGGCATTTAATGCGTTTCAAATGCAAAACTGATTGAAGTTTAGCAGCGGAGATGAGCCGGCGTAGCAATAATGGGCTTCTTTGAATATTTTATGGAAATCGTTCACATTTATTAACTGTAGTCCAAAAGCCCGACTGTGAGCAGGAGCGCTAATGTAACAATAAACAGTTCAATGTGATTGAGAGAAGGGCTCATCTCATAAAAATGCTAAATCAAATTAAATACAGCATTTTAAAGCCTGCCTTCATTAAAGCGGCGGATGGGAGGGTGACGGCGTTTTCCAGCACAACCGCTGTTAGTTAGCAGCCTTTATTCCTCTGCTAATTAAACACTGCTTCTCTTCACTCCTGTTCTCTGCCGACTGTGTCACGGTGCAATGTAAAGGCAGCTAGGAACTGTTAAATAAACACAGTTCACGTATTATAATAAATATTAAATATATCAACTATTATATTGGCTTTAGGAGAGGTTCAAAAACCCCAGGTGAACAAGGTAAAAAAAAAAAGATGTTTTGATTTCACAGCCTGATATGTATTTGATAGGAATTGAAATCTACAGAGGCTAAATAAACACTTTAATGTGTATTTGATATGTTTTCAGTTCACTAGTCTGAAAGGAGACATGATACGGAAGCAAAACAGACCAAAATCTCAAAACTGACCAGTGCAAAAAAACAACAATGGTCTTCCAAAGCCTCTACATTTATTAAGAGGTATAAGGTTTACAAAAACCAGTACTCTATAGCACACATAGCTAACTGAAATGATCTCACTGGAGTCTCCATGTTCAGCAGTCCAGGCTGAATAAACCACAGAAGTCTAATACTCTTCAATCAAACTCTGAGCAGAAAGACTGAGGAACATATTGTATTCAGAGCTGGAAATGAAGACTTTGACAAAGACACGGGTGCTGAGGAGCAAATAGAGCTGCTGCACTGAAGTCAGATGTGTGTCAGGTGTTAAGTTAAGATCTCACACTGGTGTCGAGGCGCTTGGACGATCTCTCCAACTCCCGTCTACATGCTACTAGATCAGCTCTTTATGGATTATTTTAATAAAGACCTCCCAAGGCCTGAAATAGCCTTCCCTCATCTGCATAATGTTACCAAGCAAACGACGTGAGAGCAAGAGAGCCGTCATGAATTCAGCTTCACATCACTGTGTGGGCAGCTCCACTTCCTTTCTTACATCACGTGACACATAACGAATCCGGTGCAAATCAGTGATCGAGCCAAACATCAGAATATGGTAATAACATGTGCAAATGCGATTGGTACACACGCACCTGGCATCACAAGCGTTAGATGATTTTGCTCTTATGCAAATGAGGACAAAAACATGTGCAGCTCCAGAGGCAACCAATCCCATTCATAACCTCATCAACACAGAGAGCGTATGAAATATGTATGACAGACACAGATTAATCACACATTTTCACTTTTACTCTCTGGGGTTGCACTGCACTTGCATTTTATTTTGTCTCTCTCTCTCTCTCTCTCTCTCTCTCTCTATATATTGACTTTATGCTTTTGAGATCCATCTTTTAACACTGAGAACTCTGTGTGTGTGTGTGTGTGTGTGTGTTTGTGTGTGTTTGTGTGTGTGAGTGAGTGAGAGTGTGTGTGTGTGTGAGTGAGTGAGTGTGTGTGTGTGTGTGTGTGAGTGAGTGAGTGTGTGAGTTTGTGTGTGTGAGTGAGTGAGAGTGTGTGTGTGTGTGAGTT